ACATAATTGGAACCCCCCTTTTATCCTGTGTTGGGACCCTCCCCCTTTTAAAAATGGCTGGATCAGCCCCTGATTATCCTTAATTGTCACCATAATAAATGGTATTTTATCCAATCAGCTTAGGAAAATAATCGCAGTAAAAAAAAGGCAAAGTAAATAAAATTGCAATAATTGTCAGATATGGGTCCAGGATCCTTAAAAAAAAGTGAGACTAGACTTGTAAAAAGTCTCTCTCTATATATAATTCCTAAAGGGAGTAGGCCAGGGGATTCTGTGAATCATCCCCCTTCCCTCATAAAATGTTCTTCTTATTTGAACAATTAAAAGTTTAATCTTTAAACATTTATTTTAATTAAGATTTTCATTGGTATTTCTTTTAATACATATACACAGGTAAAAGAAGTATGCATTTATATTGGGAGAATTTGGTGTTAATTGCAGATCTTTTGATCTTCACCACTTTGAAAAAAAATTATTTAGAACTTGGAATATCTAGATGTGTTGTGTTGTGTTTTTGTTATTATTGTTTGAATAACTTTCTCAAAGGTGTGTTACAATAACCTTACATCTCTTTTTATTCCTATATATCTGCCAACTATCTTGGACAAAAGACAGACAGATACACCCAGTAGATATATTTAAGTCTTAGGTGCTTCATACAGTTATGGAACTAAATTATAAATTTGCATATTTTATTTAGTATTTTCTTATTTGTAACCCTTGTGTCACAAAAATGACTGATTGTATGTAACATTGACATTGGGTTGTACAAGTGTAAATTTAAAAATTACCTGGTTTGGTAGTTCAAACAAACGTGACCAATTAACATTGTCAATACTTGATTGTTGACCATTCTGATTATCTGTCCAAGTACAAAACTATGCTAACAATATAATACACATGAGCATATAGAAAGTACTTGAAAAGTTTCAGAGTGTTTGGGGTAGTCTGTCCTGTTCAATACGGCTCATAAGATAAAGGGGAAAGCAACACTATTATCGTGTTTAAATCACGACAAACAATAGTCACTACATACTTTCGTCCCTTTAATTTTTAGGCTTATACAATGTACAGAATAATATACCATTATAACTTTATCATACATTTCTTCATCTTTGGTGTGGAATAAAAGCAAAGGATATAATTACCTGCTTATATTTTACTTGTGTTTCAAGCAAGCATTTGGTGGGTTGAGAGGGGTTTACTGTAACGGCGGTTATAAACTTACATAGGCGGATCCAGGGTGGGGGGCCAGGGCCCCCCTTTCGTGGGAAAAATTTGGTTGATTATATAGGGAATCACTGAAGCATGACTAGAGCGGCCCCCCCCTTAGGTCAGTCAGCGGGCCCCCCTTATGAAAAGTTCTGGATCCGCCACTGACTTACCACCACCCACGTGCCCCCATATCAGTGTCCTGCAGGCACTTGCCCGCAGGTGGTGTCAAAAGTTACATGTGCTTGTGTTTTTTCAAAGTTCATAAAATGTGGAACAAATGTCCTCAATTTCTCTATTCTATTTATAAGGGGAACATAAATATCAATGATCAGTGTTGGAGCTGGGACTATTGTATAATAGTCTCCATAATAGTCCCAGGTTGGAGGCATTAATGTCATTAATACCATTGTGAGGGTACTACTGGAAAGAAGTGGTTTAAGAATAGATCAACCAAGGATTTGTTTATTGGATCAACGGTGATAACATTTTAAAACTGTGATACCCAAACAACCTTGGTATGAAATACTGTACAGAAATTCCCAGTAACCGTTGGGCTTAACATTACATAAAAACTAAAGATTGTGCCATTGACGGATCCAGAAATTTTCATAAGGGGGCCCACTGACTGCTAAAGAGGGGGCCTCCCTAGTCATGCATCAGTGATTCCCGATATAATAGATCAAATTTTTGCCACAAAAAGGGGAGGGGCAGGGTGCTCTAAATCCGCCTTTATGTGCAACACGAACCTCCAAAATACATGGGTGAACTCAAGTATTGTGAATGATAAAGTTAGGAACTTTCTGCTCAACATGTGGCAACCTAGGTTTGAGTATACATGTAATTGCCAACTTGAAATTAAGTAAGTAAAACTTTGATTTGATTCGCCATATTGGCAAACATGTGAAGATAAGATCTGGTGAGCTTTTCGTCGAATATCATGAGGAGATAGTGTTAAAAGTATTTGCATAGTTCATGAGTTGAAAATTATAAAACAAAATATATTGTTTAACCTTGGACAAAAAGATCAAGTCCAAAACTGGCTGTTATTTGTGTAGGCTACCTTAATCTTGAAGAGTATGCAATTCTAAATCAAGGAGGCGGTAGGCAATTTCCTAATAATATTACAAAAGAACTTGTCACAGATTCTTAACTAAACGTCTATCAGATTAGTAAAATTTCTAATTCACTGACATCTGTTGGACATAGATACTCAAATTGCAGAATCTTATTAGTAATAAAAAAAAATCTGTGTTTTCTGTGACATCATTTTGAAAAATATATGTTTATATTTTATTTATTACACTCTAACTGTCTAACATTTAATTCTCCTCTGATTAGAATTTAGAGTAACTTATCGTTTGTCAATTTTCCAAACTTCCCATGCCCCCCTCAGCAGAGTTATTTAATTCTGAATGGAACAAAATGTGAATGAGTTATAAATAATATATAAATGATTGAATATTCTTTATTTAGTTTTTCTTTATTCTCAATTCTTCCAGAGACATGTATATGCTCTGAGAATAATGTCTTTGCATGATTCTTCATAATTAAGTATACTCAATTATTCTCTATGATCCTTCTTTCCATATTTTTGCTTTTCAACTATCTATATATTTTTTTTGTGTCCTTATTTAAATCCCCATTCTTGATTCCAGACTAACTCTCATATATATACGTAAATGTACGAAAGCTTGGTACTTCGAATACGGAAACCCGGAAATCTTTTCACCGTTGTCGTTTTTATACTATGACGCAAAATCCATGGACGCTCGTCTGCTGCTGAATTCATGTTTTAAAAGAATGGACAAAGATAGTCAGATAGTTGATACAAAGACCTTTGATTTTTCAAACTGATGGATCAAAAAGTTATTATAAACAGATATATTGAAATGGGTTAGTAACTTACATTGTCGACTAACTGAATCCGGGGAACGAAAGTCAACGCAACGAAAGTGTTTCGTTTTGATGGATTACGTACCAACTTATTGTACTTGGAAAGCGCAATGAAATGTAAATATAATCATGCGCATTTTTAGGAAGATGCTAGTGCTATACTTTTCACGAAAAACCATTTGACTTTATCCATGTCATGCATGTATAAACCCGAAAATCAGTCAAAGATTGGCAAAAACGGAAGCAAGTCAACTCGCCCCATTGCAATTGGCAAAACGCCCCATTATTTTAAAATCGCTCCACTCTTGTTTAGGCAGCTACCATTTGATTTTTATGGGAGAGGGGGCTTTGACGGAATTTGAAAGAATGCGGGACAGGAGTTTTGAGTAAAAAAATAAAAGCCAGGACCGAAAAGAATGAATAATAAACTGTCAGGACAGATATTACAAGTAAAAAAAATGCAGGATAACTGCTCATAACATTTTCATCCTAGCCCCCCCCCCCCCACCAAATCAAGTGGTAGCTCCCTTCATACCAACTTGCTTGCCCCACATTAAAAAAAAATCGCCCCACTTTTGAAAAGGATTAAATCCTGTTAAATATACAATGTCAATGTACTCCTGCCAACAGTGGCAACTTGCCTAACTTGGGTAAAATCCAAATGAATATAATCATGATAATATATAATAAATATATTATAAACAGATAAAGGTCTACCAACTCGCCCTACATGTACTTTAAAAAAATGAAAACTTATCTACCCAGAATTAAAAAAAAAAATTGAAATTTAATATATGATATTTATTGAATTTAAATGATATTTCATTTCTTAAAATATAATTGTAGATTCATTATTTACTATTATTTGATTTATGTATTTATTGGAAAATAACTTTATTCTTGCATTAGCTTAGTTATTTGCAAAATAATTGCAAAGAAACCTGTTAATTGTATCATAATCTATCTGATTGTTTTTTAGCCGACTCAAAATCATGCTGTTAATTAGGGCCCCCTGTTGTACATGTACTTAGGAATCGGACACCTCCAGAAGATGCAGGGACAAAACTTAAAGGGAGCCCAGTCGCCCATGGCTCCTAGATTTTGAGCTGGGCCCCTAAACTTTCAGGTAAATTTCAGTTGAACATATAGAAACTAATTATGAAATATCTGGTCTGGGCTCCCAGCTTGAAATTCCCTAGTTTAGTCCTTGAGATGAAAGATCTAGTAGTTTGTGGTGCCGAACCCACCTCCTAACCTGGTATATTGATGTGAAAAGGGCTTAACTCGTCAGATCTATACAAAGTAGAAAGACATCTAACAAAACCACACACAAGACGTGGTGGGTACTTACACATCCCCACAACAAAAAAAGACCAAGTTCAGATCTGAGAGTACTCCCAGTTACTAACACCTAGTTCAAAGCCAAAAACAAAGTACATTGTACATGTACAATGTATTTACCACCAAACCTTGCCTGGTTTAGTCCATTTCTCAGATACTACCTTATATAAAATAGTCCAACTTTTGGTGTAATTTAAACAACTTTGAATGACTTAAAATTTCAAAGTATCATGATTATTAATAACTTAATCCCCAAAGATTGGCATTATAAATCATGTCAGATTCAGAGATCCTGTAATATATACTGTACATGTAATCACTTTTGTTCATCCCTTCATTCAAGGGTCATATGGAATTTATATGATGGATTAGAACATTAATAAAATGATTAAATACTTTTTTGTAGTCATTTTTTTTTCAGGGAAAGTTTGTTGGTCTAGTTTTAAAAGATCAAAGCAAGCCAATTTTGCCAGATCAAAATATTAAAGGCAATTTTGGCAGATACATTGTATTATAACTTCATTTTATTAAACATTATTTATTTTAGCTTTTTCAACGAAAGTACATGTACAATTACTTTGAGAAGTAGGAGAAGCTAAGCAACAGGACAGAATTCATTTGAGGCATTGCTTTCTAGATTATATAGTGGAGTCATAGATTGTCCTATTGATTTATGTGGATATGAGGAGCAGTAGTCAATGAATAATTTTGTGATGAGAGGTATGTAATGAAAATGATAACTATGTTTGAATAATTTTTTCTTGTCAGGCTCTGTACATGCAGTTTCGAAGATTTTTTTAAAAGTTTGAGGTCAAAGAGTTTAAAGTTTGATTCTTGTAATGTTGTGGGCAAGTTCGAAAATTATCCATGTTAGAAGTGACAAATTTATTTTTTTTACAGGTCATTTTTATAGAAAATTGCATTCAAAGCTCTCTTAATCGCTTGTTCTTTTTTGTCTAGCCACAACAGTTATGAAGCTGTGACTTAGGCATGCTGTTTTCAATAGAGGCATAGTCGTAAAAAAATTGTTGATATTCATGATGAGGTCAGTTTAAGGAAACCAAGAAATAAAACCTTTGCACCTTTTGTTGGCGGTATACCATCTTTTCCGCAAGTTCATTGTTTTCTGTTGAGTATTAAATTTATAATTAAGATTTATTACTACATCGGTGATCCGTTTATTTGGCAATTTATACAGGAATAATGTCACTTTGAAATGTACGAGTTAGAAAGTAAGTGCTATTAAAATTTAGGTTTACAGAAGTTATTCCGTGGAAATATATATTGTTTAATGTAATGAAAATTGCATTGCAAGCAATCCCAAACAGGTCTACATTTCTTTTAGATTATTTATGAAAATGTTTAAAAGAACAACCATATTGTATACTACAGCAAAAAAGTTTTGAGGTCGTATATTGCTATCAACTCGTTCGAAGACATTTGGTTTCCGGACAATAACTTCAGTTTAAGTGTATGAATGTCTATGAAATTAGATTTAAAGGTTCAATACCACAAAAGGAAGGTTGGGATTATTTTTTGCGTCATGGTTCAACCAGTGTAGGAATTAGGGGCCAAAAAAGGCCCAAATCAAGCATTTTTCTAAATTCAGGACAATAACTTGTTTATAAGTATTTTAATTGCTATGAAATTGTACCACAAGTAGAAGGTTAAGTTTCATTTTGGGGGTATTTGCCCAAACCATTCATGAATTAGAGACCAAAAAGGGTCTAAAACAAGCATTGTCAGACTGGCCTATATTATTAATTGATCATGATAAGTTGTTCTCGTTTAGAATACATAAAATATTTGCCTTCTGGACATTAAAATAAGAAAAAAAGTCAATCCGTTTATGTTTTTGCATTATCAGAATGAATTTGCAAATATATAACAATTAAATTATGTTGTATCCTTGGAGCTTTTTCAATGACCTAGCATATAAATATAAAAAGATGAGGTATGATCCTCAATGTGACAACTATCAATTAATAGATCAAAGGACAAAGATGTAAACATTTACTTGTCAATGTACAGCCTTAAACAATGAACAAAAATCAATACCATAAAGTAACCTACAAGGATGAAAAATATAAACTACATACAGTAATGGCAGACAGCAAACAACATAAGAACCAACTTTCAAAATTAGCCAAAAAGGACTGGATTCATCAATAGGTCTTATAATAAAAAAGGTGCAAAAAACATGTTTTCCCAAACTAAAATATCTATCAGTTTACATTCAACAGATTTAGTGTAACAATGTTTTACAGTTGTCAATTTATGCAGTCTTAAGAAAAGTATGACTGTGTAATGTCAAAATATTCAATATATCAAAAGGGTATAAAACCTATTTCTCAATGCAAGTATGCAAGGATGTACAGACAGACAAGTGTAAAACTTGATGCCCCCTCCGTTACGACAAGGGCATAAAAAAGAGATGCACAATGGGACTATGTCGGAAGTTTTAATAAATTATGAATTACATGTTTATGCAGAAAAAACACATACAAATGTGTGTTCTTGTGTGCAGATATAACTAATTCCATGTCAAAATTCCATGTATGTTTGACAAAGTTGTTGATATCCAAAAAACATTAAAAAACTTTAAATGGGGATTTTCCAGTTTTGGGACAATAACTCAAAATGTGTTCACCAAATGGCAAGAAACTTTTCTGACTTGTTTGTATCTATTGACATGAGCTCCCTTTCGATTTTTATAAATTTAAGATTTTATGTTTCCAAGTTGTGGGGTTATATTCATTTAAAAAAGGGAGATTTTCCAGTTTTCAGACAATAACTCAAAAATGCTTACAGCAGTTTTCATAAAACTTTGGTGAATTGTTTATATTTATTGTCATAAGCTCCCTTTTGGTTTTTATTAATTTTAGATTTTATGTTTCAGAGTTATGTGATTTTATTCATAAAAAAGGGGGATTTTCATATTTCAGACAATGCTTTGAGCAGTTATCATGAAACTTTGGTGACTGGTTTATATCTATTAAGATAACCTCCCTTTTAGTTTTTCATGAATGTCCTGATTATGACATTGAAAAGTTATTGAACTTTATTCTTTGAATAAGCGATTGGTGTAACATGTGCTCATGGTGCAGCTGTCTATTTATTTTGGGCCAGGTTTTCAAATTGGTCTACATGCAGGGGTTAAAATTTGCATTAAAAATGAAAGGTCCTGGACTATTTGAAATTTTCAGTCCAGTGAAAGGTCCTCCATTTTTTTTGTCAACATTGAAACCATTCTGAAGCGTACGAAAGGTATAAATAAAATGTACTTCTAGACTTTTTATAACTAAAATAGGGGGGGGGGGGGGGGGTGGGGGGGGGGGGGGGGGGGGGGGGGGGGGGGGGGGTGGGGGGGAGGGGGGGGGGGGGGGGGGGGGGGGGGGGCGCCCCCCCTTTAGTGGTAAAAATTTGGTGTTGATTATATAGGGGAATCACTGAAGCATGACTGGAGTGTGGCCCGCCGCCCCCCCCACCCCCCACCCCCCCCCCCTTTTAGTTATAAAAAGTTCTGGATCCGCCACTGTTTACTATCACATCAGTAGGTAAATACAGAATTCTCCTAAATGGATAAGCCAATTGTTTGCAAAACTCTTTGAATACTTATTATAGTCTTGCATCCACATGCTATTAATAAAGTACTGTTTTCTCCCTTTCAGCTGTACATTGTATTACAACAAATGGACAGAGGAGTTGACTATTGATAGTGACTGATAATGGACTGGAGTAACCTAGGGTCCAATGACTCCATGCCTGACAGTCCATGTGTACATGTATGTCAACAGCCAATTCTAAGTAACCTTAAACATATATATACAAAAGACCTAAAATAATAGTATGTGCATCTATGGGAGACTTATATGTCACTGTTATCACACAGTGTTGTGTGGCTTCATTACTGATTAGAGACTAATCAGATTATCCTTTACTTTAAGTTCAAATATAATGTACATGTACTCAATGATTATGACTTGCCTTCATTAACTTGTAATAATTATGATGCAGGATCCAACAAAAGTATTTTTTTTTTTTACCTACATTTTATGCATCAGTCTCGCTGATTTTTTAAGTACCTTGTAAATGTATATGGATATATGTATGAATTTAGTTGTAATACTTAGTTTTGAGCCTTGCACATATATACATCATTGTACATTGTCATAGAAGTTAAAATTACTTTGATCGCTGTCAGACAATGACAGAGTGTTTTTGAACATTGCTTCATAATTGCTGATCAGATTACCTTATTTAATTAATAAAATGTTATTGTCACAGATTGAAATTTTTAGTATTTTATAAATAAGGTCTTACAATGTAAGGTATAGGATTGTCAATGAGAAAACATTCCATTAGTCAAAGAGGATGTAAAAAAATTTAGGTCAATGTATGACTTTCAACAATGAACAAAACCATACTACTGTAAAAGCAGAAATTTTCGTGGAGGATTTAATTTTGTTTATTTCGTGGGAAGAATATATCCACATAACCTACATATAATATCACTTCCATTTACTGGAAAACCACGAAATTAAATCCCCATGAAATCTTGTAAAGAGACAAAACCACGAAATTTTAAGCCCACGAAAATTAATGTTTCTACAGTATATAGTCAGCTGTAAAAGATCCTGACAAAGTGAGCAACAATCCAATCCAGAAAACTAGTGATGTTCCAATTACCATGTGCAGTATTGGTTATAATATAAAAATATCACTTGTTTTCTCTCTCTTTGCCAAGGGATAACTGTATTCCTAATTTATTCTTATTGGAAAGCAGACTGCATCAGGTTAAGATTTTATATGATAATCACAGGAATTTTAATTTTCAGAATTAGCTCCTCAGATGTAAGTGGAAGGGAAGCTATATACATTATATGTTTAAATGAAATTAACAACAGGATAAGATATTGAGGAGATCCTATAGCTACAGTATATATAAATGTAACTGGTATGTATTTGTTACAGTATTTAATTTCCAAATGGTATAACAAAAATACTGAATTCCAAGGCAATTTCAAAAAAATCGTAAGGGTTCCGCAGAACCCAGTGTCTCGCCTACTTTTGCTGTTAATTGCATCATTTTCTCATCACTTGGCGTCCGTCGTCGTCCGTTAACTTTTACAAAAATCTTCTCTGAAACTATTGGGCCAAATAAAACCAAACTTGGCCTAAATCATCCTTAGAGTATCTAGTTTTAAAAATGTATCCGTTGACCCTGCCCATCAACCAAGATGGCCAATATTGCTAAAAATAGAACATGGGGGTAAAATGCAGTTTTTGGCTTCTAGCTTTGAAACCAAAGCATTTAGAGCAAATCTGACATGGGGTAAAAATGTTCATCAGGTGAATATCTATCTCTGTTGAATTTTCAGACGCATCAGACAACCCGTTGTTGGGTTGCTGCCCCTGAATTGGTAATTTTAAGAATTTTTTTTTCAATTTTTATACGACCACAAAAAATTATTGGTATCACGTTGTCGTCGTCGTCACCCAAAGACACATGGTTTCCGGACAATAACTTAAGTATTAGTAAATAGAAATCTATGAAATTTAAACATAAGGTTTATAACCACAAAAGGAAGGTTGGGATTGATTTTGGGGGTTATGGTCCCAACAGTTTAGGAATTAGGGGCCCAAATAAGCATTTTTCTAGTTTCATGACAATAACTTGTGGAACAGTGTATGGATCTCTCTGAAATTATACTACAAGTTTCCATACCACAAAGGGATGGTTAGGATTGGCTTTGGGGGGTTATGGCTCAAACCATTTAGGAATTGGGGGCAAAAAAAGTGAGAAAAAACAAGGGTGTCCTGGTTAATGGACAATTACTTAAGTACAAATTACAGTGTAAGGGAGGTAATTCAAATACATCTTGGAAATTTGAATTGAAATTATGACCATAACTGAGGGAAAGATTTTTTTTTTTTGGAAAAAGAGGGGGGGGGGACAATTTTTTCTCCTCAAGATTTCAGAAATCAAAATCAAAAAGAAAATCCTTCAAATTTATTTTTTTATTTAAAAAGGGGATGGAGGTCAATTCGCAACAGCATAGTGTATTACACAAAAGCAAAATTTTGAATATAAATTCAAGTCATATAACCAATTCAAGTTCTTCGACTACAGTTATTCTGTGTCAGAAACCTATTATGTGTCAAATATTGAATTGCAATCCAAATTCAGACCTGTATCAAGCGCGAATATTGTGTCCATATTTGCCCCAACTGTTCAGGGTTGGACCTCTGTGGTCATATCCAGCTGCGCTCGGCAAAGCAATTTATTGGTTATTATCTTGAACATTATAATAGAGATAAACTGTAAACAGCAATAATGTTCAGCAAAATAAGATTCACAAATAAGTCAACAGGATCAAAATGGTCAATTGACCCCATAAGGAGTTATTGCACTTTAAAGTCAAATTTAACAATTTTTTCGTAAATTTTTGTAATCTTTTACAAAAGTCTTTTCCTGAAACAACTGAGACAAATTTAACCAAACTTGGCCATAATAAGCATTAGGGTATCTAGTTTAAAAATAGAACATAGGGGGAAAAATGCAGTTTTTGACTTATATCTTTGAAACTAAAGCAAAAGTATATCGGTTGCATTATTTCATGCATCAATTGTAAAATGAAAAAAATATCAGGTGAGTGACACAGGCTCCTTGGAGCTTTTAGTTGGTATTGTAATTTAAATGAGGTTAAGACATGTAAGAAAGGGGCTTGAAAAATGAGGAATTGTGTTTCTACAAGCACTTAGTAATCTAGATCTATAATACTAAAATAACAAGGTCCAATTTGTGAGCCGGCATGACATAAAAATGACGATTCAAAGAATTCAACTTTATTTATAACTTATATATATAGAACAATGGTGTTGATTAAAAATTACACCATTCCAGGCCCATTTGTTTTCCACATAATTATTACAACAGATAATTAACAAGTTCTGGGTCGAAGGGTTCAAAAAGAAAGATTTTGAAAGCAGAGAAAACTGTGCACCTAATGACCAGCATGACATTATTAGATGACAAAACGAAAAATCTTAAAATTCAGGCTAAAAATAAGGCTAAGGTACTTTGCTTCAGTCACAACACCATGATGTCCCGGAGTATTCTAGTATATATTATATATACAGGTAATGTGTAGTACACATGCATGAATAGAGTTAGTTTTCATTATTACGGTAATTTATGTTGATAAAAATGAGAATATGTAGTATTATTGCCAATGAGACAACTATCCACCAGAGTCCAAATGACTGAATGTTAGCAACTATAGATCACTGTATGAACAGCTTTCAACAATGAGCAAAACTGATACTGCATCTAGCAAGCTATAAAAGGTCCTGAAATTACAGATGTAATACAATTCCAATTTACGTAAAAGACATTAAACAAAAAATAAATATGATAAACAACAACTATTATATTCCACTCCAGTTGTTCACACGATATATATATATATATATATATATATATGTAAGTTTGGTAAATCATTGGAGATTAAATTGATGTTATCATTTTTTGCCTGATTGGTAATCCAATATTTGATGTATGTTTTACAAAAAATATATGCTGTTTTTGTCTCGCTTGACGGAGTCAAAAAGCGAGGCATAGGTATGCTGTTTCTGGCGTTGGTGACGACAGCGGCGTCAACAATGTATTAGTTTGTGATTAGGTCTAGTTTATAGTGAACCACAAGTAGTAAGTCGAAGATATTTGGTATGCAGTTGTATTAGTATTGGCACATCTCATTACCATGGAGATTATTTGGCCCCGCCCCTCAGTTATGGTTTATTGACTTAATTTGAAATTCTTGCTTAGTCTTCATGTATTAGTTTGTGATTAGGTCAGTTTATGGAGAACCACTAGTGGTAAGTTAATTATGATTGGTATGCAGTTGTATAAGCATTGGCATATCTCATTTCCATGGAGATTATTTGGCCCCACCCTCTCAGTCATGGTCTATTGACTTTTAAATTTTTGCTTAGTTTTCATGTATTAGTTTGTGACTAGGTCAGTTTATGGGGAACCAATAGTGGTAAGTTCATGATAATTGGTATGCAGTTAAATACGCATTGGCATATCTCATTTCCATGAAGATTATTTGGCCCTGCCCCCTCAGTCATGGTCTATTGACTTTGAAACTTTTGCTTAGTTTTTATGTATTAGTTTGTGATTAGGTCGGCTTATGGGAAACCACTAGTGGTAAGTCAATGATATTTGGTATGCAGTTGTATTAGCATCGGCACATCTCATTACCATGGAGATTATTTCCCCCCCCCCCCCCCCCCCTCAGTTATCCTTTATTGACTTTAAAATTTTCTTAGTTTACATGTATTAGTTTGTGTTTAGGTTTTTTAAAGGGAACTACTTATGATAAGTCAATGGTATTTGGTATGCGTTGTATTAGCATTGGCACATTTAATTTCCATGGAGATTGTTTAGCCATGTACCTTTAGTCATGGTTCATTGACTTTGAATATTTGCAAATCTTACATGTTAAAGTGTTGCTATTTTAATTTCAACATTTGCATTATCGAAATTACTAAAAAGCGAGACATATCTCTGTGATTACAGTTTATTTTTTTTATTACAGCAACTGTATTCCAAGAGTCTGATGGCTGATAATGTATTACAGGATTTTACCATTCAAGCAACATCTTAGAAGGATAAGTGCAAATGTATGAAGGAAGCCTTGGGTACAAATAGCAATTACAGCAATTACATGCAGGAGAGAACTCTTAACATTACTAACAGACATGTAGTCATTATATGGGAGTGGTGTATTCAAGAAATCTAAAACACATGGAATTAAATATCGTGTATATTTTTTCAACCACAAGTTCTCTCAGAATATAATACAATTCAAATTCAAATTATTGTGCCAACATGACAATTACAGTCTAAAAATGGAAAATGCATGTTTTAAACTGATTTTTATATAAATATTTGAAATAACAAGAATTTTTAGTTTATTGTGCAGCCAAACTTTGAGATCTTCTAATGGTATATGCCTGTTGTTTGTCAACATTTGTTTTCTTTTTGCCTTAACCTTAAGATTGGTGTTAAAATGAAAAACTGAAATATATATGTGAAATAAGAAGGAAATGGTTGTAAATAACAGCAAGACTTTCAATATGGTATATCAAAATATATTTCACAGAACTTTCTATTTCAGTTAATTAATACAATGAGATATGAGGTATAAATAAATCAGACAGCTACACAACAAAAACACATGAAAGGCATTAAGGTGCTAACATACAGTCCTCAACAATGAACAGGTGTCTAAACAATGTCATGATCTACTTAATTAACCAGAGTCTATACCAATCAAAGAGCTGCCATCAACACCAAATTCTTTAAATATTTTTTTTTATTAGGATGAGACTTAGACAACCACTGAAAAGGTTCCTGGCTTGAAACAGGCACAGGAATATGTGGCAGGGTGAAATACTTTTTTTTCTTCAAAACTTTCAAAAGAAAAATTGGCATCTTTTGCAAGTAAGACTATTTCCATAATGGGATTGGATTGTCTCATGGCTGATAACCACAAAATGACTTGTACATACATATTAAAAATGAAATATACATTAGTGCATACATATTCTATAAATGAATCACCAATCCTTACATGACTTTTAAAAAAAGTATTGAGACTTGAACATAACCGAAAAAATTCTAGGAGTGAACTAAGGTGACCTGGATATTTGCTTGCCTTCTTTGTTTTATTGCATCTTATCTCTTGCATTGGAGATATTGTGAGTTGGGAGTTGATAGATAAATATTTTTTGTATTGTTTAGGATCAAGAAAGTAAAATATAATGGAAGTATGAACACATAGTCAAGACCAAGAAGAATATTTATATATCAAAATAGAATGTGTACTAGATTAGCATTAACTTATCTAAAATATGCTCAAATACTGTGAATTTGTGTGATTGATGCTCAATTCACCTTAATTTCATTTTGCCTGTGTATATATATAGAGAAAACACATGTATAACGCATGTGTAAGAAAAATGTGTTAGAAATTGCATGTAATTCACATGAGAACTGAGAAACATGTCAACAATCATGGTAATTGGACAAATAGGAGGACATTTTGAAAAATATTTAATACAGGCACCATGCCTTTTACATGTAGTAATCACGCATGTATCACGGGTGTATTTCCTTACGCATGTGATTCACATGTGAAACGCATGATCACATGTGTGTATCATGCGTATCACATGTGTTTTTCACACATGTGTCACATGCGTGGCATGAAACGTCTCTTTCACATGCGTGTGACACGCATGTGAAACGCATGTGTCACGCATGTACACATGTGTGGCATTTTTGCCAGTGTATGATAGTCAATCGTCTGTACCAGGTCATGAGTATGATAGTCAATCGTCTGTACCAAGTCATGAGTATGATAGTCAATCGTCTGTCCCTAGTCATGAGTATGATAGTCAATCGTCTGTCCCTAGTCATCAGTATGATAGTCAATCGTGTGTACTAAGTCATGAGTATGATAATCAATCGTCTGTACCAGGTCATGAGTATGATAGTCAATCGTCTGTACCAGGTCATGAGTATGATAGTCAATCGTCTGTATCAGGTCATGAGTATGATAGTCAATTGTCTGTACCAGGTCTTGAGTATGATAGTATATCGTCTGTACCAGGTCATGAGTATGATAGTCAATCGTCTGTACCAGGTCATGAGTATGATAGTATATCGTCTGTACCAGGTCATGAGTATGATAGTCAATCGTCTGTACCAGGTCTTGAGTATGATAGTATATCGTCTGTACCAGGTCATGAGTATGATAGTCAATCGTCTGTACCAGGTCATGAGTATGATAGTCAATCGTCTGTACTAAGTCATGAGTATGATAGTCAATCGTCTGTACCAAGTCATGAGTATGATAGTCAATCGTCTGTACCAGGTCTTGAGTATGATAATCAATCGTCTGTTCCAGGTCACGAGTATGATAGTCAATCGTCTGTCCCTAGTTGTGAGTATGAAAGTCAATCGTCTGTACCAGGTCATTAGTATGATAGTCAATCGTCTGTAGCAGGTCACGAGTATGATAGTCAATCGTCTGTCCCTAGTCATTATTATGATAGTCAATCGTATATCTCAAGTCATGAGTATAATAGTCAATCGTCTGTACCAGGTTATGAGTATGATATTCAATTGTCTGTACGAGGTCACGAGTATGATAGTCGATCGTCTGTCCCTAGTCATTAGTATGATAGTCAATCGTATGTCTCAAGTCATGAGTATGATAGTCAATCGTCTGTACCAGGTTATTAGTATGATATTCTATTGTCTGTACGAGGTCATGAGTATGATAGTCAATCGTCTGTCCCTAGTCATTATTATGATAGTCAATCGTATGTCTCAAGTCATGAGTATGATAGTCAATCGTGTATACTAAGTCATGAGTATAATAGTATATCGTCTGTACCAGGTCTTGAGTATGATAGTATATCGTCTGTACCAGGTCATGAGTATGATAGTCAATCGTCTGTACCAGTTCATGATTATGATAGTATATCGTCTGTACCAGGTCTTGAGTATGATAGTCAATCGTCTGTACCAGGTCTTGTGTATGATAATCAATCGTCTGTACCAGGTCATGAGTATGATAGTCAGTCGTCTGTACCAAGTCATGAGTATGATAGTCAATCGTCTGTACCAAGTCATGAGTATGATAGTCAATCGTCTGTACCAAGTCATGAGTATGATAGTCAATCGTCTGTACCAGGTCATGAGTATGATAGTCAATCGTCTGTACTAAGTCATCAGTATGATAGTCAATCGTCTGTACCAGGTCATGAGTATGATAGTCAATCGTCTGTCGCTAGTTATGAGTATGATAGTCAATCGTGTGTACTTAGTCATCAGTATCATAGTCAATCGTCTGTACCATGTCATGAGTATGATAGGCAATCGTCTGTACCATGTCATGAGTATGATAGTCAATCGTCTGTACCATGTCATGAGTATGAAAGTCAATCGTCTGTACCAAGTCATGAGTATGATAGTCAATCGTCTGTCCCTAGTCATCAGTATGATAGTCAATCGTCTGTACCAAGTCATGAGTATGATAGTCAATCGTCTGTACCAAGTCATGAGTATGATAGTCAATCGTCTGTACCAGGTCATGAGTATAATAGTCAATCGTCTGTACTATGTCATGGGTATGATAGTTAATCGTCTGTACCAGGTCATGAGTATGATAGTCAATCGTCTGTACCAGGTCACGAGTATGATAGTCAATCGTCTGTCCCTAGTTGTGAGTATGAAAATCAATCGTCTGTACCAGGTCATTAGTATGATAGTCAATTGTCTGTACCAGGTCACGAGTATGATAGTCAATCGTCTGTCCCTAGTCATTATTATGATAGTCAATCGTATATCTCAAGTCATCAGTATGATAGTCAATCGTCTGTACCAGGTTATGAGTATGATATTCAATTGTCTGTACGAGGTCACGAGTATGATAGTCGATTGTCTGTCCCTAGTCATTAGTATGATAGTCAATCGTATGTCTCAAGTCATGAGTATGATAGTCAATCGTCTGTACCAGGTTATGAGTATGATATTCAAATGTCTGTACGAGGTCATGAGTATGATAGTCAATCGTCTGTCCCTAGTCATTAGTATGATAGTCAATCGTATGTCTCAAGTCATGAGTATGATAGTCAATCGTGTGTACTAAGACATGAGTATAATAGTATATCGTCTGTACCAGGCCTTGAGTATGATAGTATATCGTCTGTACCAGGTCACGAGTATGATAGTCGATTGTCTGTCCCTAGTCATTAGTATGATAGTCAATCGCATGTCTCAAGTCATGAGTATGATAGTCAATCGTCTGTACCAGGTTATGAGTATGATATTCAAATGTCTGTACGAGGTCATGAGTATGATAGTCAATCGTCTGTCCCTAGTCATTAGTATGATAGTCAATCGTATGTCTCAAGTCATGAGTATGATAGTCAATCGTGTGTAGTAAGTCATGAGTATAATAGTATATCGTCTGTACCAGGTCTTGAGTATGATAGTATATCGTCTGTACCAGGTCATGAGTATGATAGTCAATCGTCTGTACCAGTTCATGAGTATGATAGTATATTGTCTGTACCAGGTCTTGAGTATGATTGTCAATCGTCTGTACCAGGTCTTGTGTATGATAATCAATCGTCTGTACCAGGTCATGAGTATGATAGTCAGTCGTCTGTACCAAGTCATGAGTATGATAGTCAATCGTCTGTACCAAGTCATGAGTATGATAGTCAATCGTCTGTACCAAGTCATGAGTATGATAGTCAATCGTCTGTACCAGGTCATGAGTATGATAGTCAATCGTCTGTACTAAGTCATCAGTATGATGACAATCGTTTGTACCAGGTCATGAGTATGCTAGTCAATCGTCTGTCGCTAGTCATGAGTATGATAGTCAATCGTGTGTACTTAGTCATCAGTATCATATGTACCATGTCATGAGTATGATTGTCAATCGTCTGTACCAGGTCATGAGTATGAAAGTCAATCGTCTGTACCAGGTTATGAGTATGATAGTCAATCGTGTGTACTAAGTCATGAGTATGATAGTCAATCGTCTGTACCAGGTCATGAGTATGATAGTCGTCTGTTCCAGGTAACGAGTATGATAGTCAATCGTCTGTCCCTAGTTGTGAGTATGAAAGTCAATCGTCTGTACCAGGTCATGAGTATGATAGTCAATCGTCTGTACGAGGTCATGAGTATGATAGTCAATCGTCTATCCCTGGTCATGAGTAGGATAGTCAATCGTCTGTCCCTAGTCATGAGTATGATACTCAATTGTCTGTACGAGGTCACGAGTATGATAGTCAATCGTCTGTCCCCAGTCATTATTATGATAGTCAATCGTATATCTCATGTCATGAGTATGATAGTCAATCGTCTGTACCAGGTTA